GAATAGCAAAGAAAATAGAAAGGAAATATCAAAGAAAATAGAAAGGAATTACAAAGAAAATAGAAAAGAATAGCAAAGGAAATGGAAATGAAATAGCAAAGAAAATAGAAAGGAATAGCAAAGAAAATAGAAAGGAAATAGCAAAGAAAATATCAAAGAAAATGTAAAGGAGATATCAAAGAAAGTATAAAGAAATAGAAAATATAAGAGAAAATATGAAAAAAATATAAAAGGAAATAGAAAATATAAAAGAGAAGAGAAAGAAAATAGGAAATAGAAAATACAAAGAAATATCAAAGCCAATAGCAAGCAAATCCAAAGCAGGTTTTGTCTCTCTCTGGCAGTTCCTGCTGCTGAAACAGAAGCTGGGAATTCCTCCTGATGCCTGCAGCAGCATTCCCGAGTTCCTGCACTGCTGGGGAGAGGCCCTGGAGCTGCAGCAGCTGCAACAGCTGCAGCAGCAGCAGCCCTGAGGCACCAGGGGCAGCTGCAGCTCCCTGGGATGCAGAAAAATGGGAGCAAATCCTTCTGTGGGGGTTTGCTGCCAGCAGGATGGAGCAGCAGCAGCCCTGAGGAGTGTCCTGGAGGGAGCTGGGCTGGGAGATCCAGGTGGGAATTGCAGGGTTGGCATTCCAGCCCTGGAGCTGTTTGGGGATTCAGGAACGAGCTCATCCCACACAGCCATGAGGGTTCCAGCTGGGAATCCCTGTTTGGATGCAGAAAATGGCAGCAGATCCTTCTGTGGATGTCTGCTTCCAGCAGGATGGAGCAGCAGCAGCTCCTGGGGGCAGCTGTGCCACCAGATCCGTGTTTGGTGGCTGAGCTGGGAGATCCAGGTGGGAATTGCAGGGTTGGCATTCCCAGCCCTGGAGCTGTTTGAGGATTCTGGGGCTGTTTGGGGATTCAGGAACGAGCTCTTCCCACACAGCTCTGGGAATCCCTGCTTGGGGTGGCTCTGCAACACCCAGGGTGGCCAAGGGTTGGATTTTTGGGAGCAGTTCCCCGTCTCTGCTGTGCAGCTGGGGAGGGAGGGCCCATCCCCCTGATCCTTGGGATGATTCCTGCTCATTCCTGCTTTTCCTCTGCCTCTGGAATTGTCTCCCAGGGCAGAGGCAGGAAAGGAGCTGGTGCTGTGTCAATTCCTTCAGCTCAGGGACATTCCAGGTCCCTCCCAAAGGGACTTCCCACGTGGTGCTGTGCCTCCCTGCCCTGAGCCCTCTGTGCACACTGCAGATCTGGATCCTTCTGCTCTGGAATTGTTTTTATTTTTTTGGGAATTAAAAAAAAAAAAAAACCAACCAAACAACTTTTCCTGATGCTGAGCCTGTTCCTGCCTGGCTCCCTGATTTCTCTGAGGGTGTTGGACGTGGCCACAACTTCTGCTGCTGCCTTTGCATCCATGGAAACTGGGCTGGGCTCAGCAGGGAGGGGTTGGGGTGCCCAGGAGGGTTTGGGATCCTCAGGAGGGTGCCCAGGAGGGTTTGGGGTGCCCAGGAGGGTTTGGGGTAGGTGGTTTTGTGGTGCTCAGGAGGGTTTTGGGTGCTCAGAAGGGTTTGGGGTACCCAGGAGGGGTTGGGGTGCTCGGAAGGGTTTGGGGTGCTCCGGAGGCTGCCCAGGAGGGTTTGGGGTGGCTGGAAGCGTTTGGGCTCAGTGAGGGGCTGGTTGAAGGCTCTTGGGGTGGTCAGAAAGGTTTGGGGTGCCCAGGAGGATGCACAGGAGGGTTTGGGGTGCCCAAGGAATGCATAGGAGAGTTTGGGGTGCCCAGGAGGGTTTGGGGTAGGTGGTTTTGTGGTGCTCAGGAGGGTTTTGGGTGCTCAGAAGGGTTTGGGGTGCTCCGGAGGCTGCCCAGGAGGGTTTGGGGTGGCTGGAAGCGTTTGGGCTCAGTGAGGGGCTGGTTGAAGGCTCTTGGGGTGGTCAGAAGGGTTTGGGCTAATCCAAAATCCATCAGTGCCAGGAGGTGACACAGGATAATTTATTAACCATTTCTTACCCGTGCTGAAGAAAACAATTGAATCCCTGTGGTCTTCAAAGAGCCCCCCAGAAAAACCCTTAAGGCACAAAATTGGCTGTTCCTGCAGCGGGGCACTCAGGGGGTGCAATCCCAAAAAGGTTTGGCCATGCCAAAACTCCTTCCTGGGTGAGGCTGAGCCAGGAGCCCTGGAGCAGCTCCTGGTGCCCTGGAGCATCTCCTGGAGCATCTCCTGGATCAGCTCCGGGTGCCCTGGATCAGCTCCGGGTGCCCTGGATCAGCTCTGGGTGCCCTGGAGCAGATCCTGGACCAGCTTCTGCTGCTCTGGATCAGCTCCTGGACCAGCTCCTGGTGCCCTGGATCAGCTCCTGGACCAGCTCCTGGTGCCTTGGAGCAGCTCCTGGACCAGCTACTGGTGCCCTGGATCAGCTCTGGGTGCCCTGGATCAGCTCCTGGATCATCTCCTGGTGCCCTGGATCAGCTCCTGGTGCCCTGGATCATCTCCTGGATCAGCTCTGGATCAGCTCCTGGTGTCCTGGATCAGCTCCTGGACCAGCCCCTGCTGCTCCCTCAGCCCCAGCCAGGCACAGGGACACTCCCAGCACGGTGAGCAGCATTCCTGCCACAGCTCCTGTGGGGGAGAAGAAACAAATCCGTGACAAATAAATGGGAATAAACTGGGAATCTGCCTCCAGCAACAACCTCCAGCTGGGGCCCCAGCTCCTGGAGTTGGAAATGTCACGTTTTCCTGCTTTTTCCTCACCACCTGAGCAGGGCTGGTTGATTTTTGGGGGATTTTGGGCCACTCTTTATCCATGGTGGGCATTTTGTTCATGGTTAAACATCTCCTGAGGGAAAAATTCAAGCCTATAAATCATTTCAGCTTAAAACAGCCAGTTCTGGCTTTAAATTCACCAGCCCTGCCCAAAAATCTGTTTTAATTCCCTTTTAGGTCCTGCAGCCAAAGCTGCTGTGATCCACTTCAAGC